ACCCTCCTCAACCCACGGCTTGCTCACCTTCAACCCTTAGATGTGCCGATGCCTTATGCTGACCAACTTGGAATCTGATGGCTCCACTGTCTTCTGGGGTCACCTTCCTCAGCACCAAAGTGTGAACGTTCCCTCCMACTCTGATCTCYGTCAGTTCGTTGCTCTGCAGGCGAAGGTCCCCCAGGAACCACTGGCTCTCCTCACTTGTMTCTCGTGACAGCTTGCATTCAAACACTGCATCTTCTCCTTCCTGAGCAGTCACGTCCTTCATTTTCTCCACAATGCTTACTTCGGGTTCTTTAGGGAAAGGTCAAGAGAGGTTGATAAAGGCTTTCCAAGGTGGCTTTTTGCTTTCCTGGAATGATTACTTTGCTATGCTCCTTCTTGATCATTCTTGACTGCAGTGTTTGACAGAACCAACATCCACAAAGAACTACACACAGTATATACATTCATGCCTAATTTGTAATGATGGATACTTACAGATGCATTGTGTGTGTGTGTGTGTATTTGCACGCACACACTAAACACATACACATTATATGTAGCATATTCCATTATATGTGATACTATAACATACACATGCTATATTACATTGTGTGCACCTAGAAGAAATATGTAATACACAACACCTACAGGCAATATATGTATTATGGAAACATCATCAGAATACAGTGGGTGATATAAATACTAGATCAGAGAGCTATTGGCATTCATCAGAATGCAGTGGGTGATATAAATACTAAATTAGAGAATTATTGACTTGAGTTCTAACTCTTATGTCTCTCTAGGTGTTAATTTACTTAATCATGTGTCACTCTCATGGTAGCAAACACTGTTCAGCCCTTCCCCATTTGAATCCTCACCTTTCACAGTAACAGACGCACAGGTTTGTTGGTCCCCAGTGTCGCACAGGTAGTCTCCAGCATCAGCTTGCCTCAAGTTGTGAATCGTCAGCTCAGCTACAGAACCCTTCTGGCACATGATATATTTGTCACTTGGTCTCAGCACCGTCCCAGCCTTCTTCCACTTCACAGTGGCTTTTGGTTTTGAGATTTCACAGCTCAGAGTGATAGTATCTCCTTCTTCTGCTTGCTTGTTCTGGAGTGGTTTTGTAAAGATCACTGGCGAAACTACACCAAGACAATCAAAGAAATATTTTTAAGTTTTATTAGTGACTCTGTCTCACCAATTCATTTATAAGAATTTGATCCTGCTTCATAGTTTCACTCTAATTTGCTGTTTTCCATCCCTGATTCCGAATTTATCAATAATTTTTTGCACAGAATGGTAATTTTTGTCCATACCAGGAGAATTAATTTGCTACCATCTTTAGTATCAGTAAACAGAAAGGCTGCTAAAGTCCTAACCTCTTGGTCAGGACTCCTAACCTCACTAACCTCTTGGCATTGCATACCCTGAGCATTTCTAGAAACAAGTTCCATTTTATGCAGGAACCACACAGAACACTGAATTGTATCTCCAAATGGATCAGCCATTTGGAGAATCAGAAGGCAGAACTCAAAAGCCTGTACCTGATATTTTAATTCTTGAGTATTTGGTCCTGCAGAAGTATCATTACACAATATTTGCAGGGAGTATGGGGTATGGAGAAATGCAGGCTTGGCAGACAAACTTTGAAAAGACCTTGTCTGTCAGACTGCATCAAAGTTGACTAGGAAATGATCATCACAGAATTTGACCATCTCTCTGTCACCAAGTCTTTGATATGTACATTATGGAAAATTTAAACCAACATAAAGCTATGAAAAAGGTGAAGTGGGAGCCTTTTGTCACCTTTCACTGCTAAGGATGCCATAGTTTGTTCATCGCCAGAATCACAGATGTAGTCCCCAGCATCCTTCAGCTGTAGGTCATGGATGAGCAGCTCTACAATAGAGCCCATCTGCTTCATTTCATATTTGTTGCTCGCTTGGAGTAAGACTGACCCCTTTTTCCATCTCACTGGTGCATCGTGTTTTGAGAGCTCAGCATGGAGGGTTACAGTAGAGCCTTCTTTGGCTTCCTTGTTTTGGAGCTTCTTTACAAAGACTGCTGGGATGGCTGGGACCACACATAAGAGACACAAAAACACCCATAAATAGAGACAAAAAGGACCAACATGGTCAATTCAGCTGCTTATAGTACAAATATCCAGGCACTGCTAAATTCTGGAGCTTTTGTGAGAGGACTCATGTACAGACCCTTCATGCGAGGGCCACCACTGGACAGTTCTAAAGGTAGCATTTCATATTAACTTGATGGCCCTGAGTTACATTAATCATCTTTTATCTCAGGCAAAGATGACATAATGGCATACTGAAGTAGATATGCCGACATGTGACAGCTATTTTTAATAGTCTAGACACTGGAAGTACTTTGGTGACACACTTCTCAACTGTAGGCATGTGTCATGGTAAGTTTGAGCAGTTGAGTCTGGAGCACCATTTGCCCAGATGGGACTGCAGCTCAGAAGACAGAGATGGACAGAAATCAAAATTGCCTGTCTGGTCATTCAGACAGAAGCCCCATAAGTTTACAAGTGAGGAAGCAGTTATTACTCTTGCATCTCTCCATGTTCATTGCTTACAACACTTCCTAGAGGATTTAAAATAACTTTTGAAAGTTATTTTAAAGTTTGCGTAACTTTTTGAAAGTTATTTTAAAGGATCCATAAAGTCTGGATCCTCAGCTGCCATAGGCCAGGAAAGTTCATCTCAAGTCAAGGATGGGAGATAACATCCACTTGCTGGTACTAAGCTATGAAAATGGAATAAGTCTTTCTTAAAACAAAACAACTTAACAGTTAAACTGGCTGTTGCTTGCTGCTTTCAAAAAAGAATTGTTCTTGCTTAGTACTTATTATTTGCAGTTATGGGCTCTCAGTGAACACAGTGATCATTTACTAGAATTTCAGACTTGCATAGATGGCATTCACATCAGATGCTGTCATTTTACTAAAGTGGGCATTAGGGTTGATTTACCTCAACAGATACAGACATCTACATGATGAGATATCTAGCCAAGGGGTACTCATTGCAGAGCCCCTTTAATAGCCAGTAGTGATTCTACAGTTATTCAAACAGATCATTCTTGATCTATTATTAATGGAGCTAGAAGTAGAGAGACATGCCCTTGTAGCACTAACCAGTGCAATACTTCAAGTATCTATAATAAGTTCTAGCATTTCATTTGTTTTGCAGGGAAATTCTCATTGCCTCTGGGATCACAGGAAGGTTCCCATTCACTTCCATTAGATCTGGGGCTTGCCCTCAAGCTTTACTGAGATATGCTATGGAAAGAAAATACTCAGTCCCCAGAATCACTTTGATCTCATTACCTTTCACAATGAGAGAGGCCTTGGAGATTAGTCCAGAGGCAGTGAAAATGACTTCTCCAGCATCAGCAAGAGTCGCACCTTTGATATTGAGTACGTATTTCCGACCTGTGCTAAATATTTCAAATTGTCCAGCATTTTCCACTTTGTTTCCATTCAGTGTCCAGTGGAATCCATCAACGCTTTCACGGGATAAAATACACTCAAAAGTGCAATCTTCTCCCTCCTGGATTTCAGCATTCTTCAAACGTTTGGTTATGCTAATGTCTAAATCTGGAAGCAAAACGTAAGTTAATACAGTGCTTATAATGAGAAAAGGCTTTATAGACTGATATAAGTAGGAGTATTAGCATTTTTAGCTCATCTGGCTCATTTATATACAGGTTTTGGAGGACAACACTGCATTCCTTACTGATATATTTGACACAGGGAGAATTTTGCTGACATTTTCCCCTCAGAGTCACCACAAGACTATAGAAACAGGACTGTGTGAATCTTTGTCTTCACTCTGGAATGACTGGTGTGAAAAAGAGCCTGCCCTGGGGATCAGAGTCAAGATTCAACACACTAGAGAGGGAAAAAACCATCAGACACCGTAAGCCTTTGAGGTGCTCTCTGAAACAAAGGCTTTTAAACCATGATTATGTGACAAATGGGATGTTTGTTATTTTCTCACCAGCCAATCCATCCTAGTGTTCAAAAGGGACTGAAATTCAAGATGTGCTTCACTGACAAACAGGAATTGGAATCCTTCAATGCTCCCCTCTTTCCAACAGGCAGCCACAAGTATTAAAGGGATTAAAGGACAGGGGGGAATATAGTATTCTTTAACAGACCATGTTCTAGTGTTCATTTTGTCACAGCTGGCTGAATTAATGGCGGAACCATGTGAAATACAAAGTTCTCTTAAGAAACTGTTAGCTCTTCTTCTCAGAATTTCTCCATTTTAGGGTATTCGGAAAGGAAACAGCTGGAATGTGCCTGATATATCCAATGACTTTCATTAAAACATCATAAAGACACTTGTAAAAGAAGAGTAATGAGGGTTGTTCAGATGTCACGCTGTTGTGTAACAAATTTTCCCATCACTAGTGTATAGTGGAGGTCCTGGAGGCTCATGGAGAGGTAGGTGCAAGACAAAGTCACCAAGACCATACATATTCCTCACACCCTTTAACTGGCCAGTGCTGTCTACAGTACTTACTCTGAATGTTGATCTTTGGCTTAGCAACATCAGTGCCAGTATCAGACGTGCCTGTATCTGTCTTTTCAAGATCATGGATCTTCCCAGCCTGCTCATCTTTGTTGCCAGAAGTGAGTTCCGCATCATCCTTTTTCCGATCAGCTTTGACCTTTTCTTTGGAGACTGCACACTCTGGTTTAGTCACACCTCGTTCCTCACCAGCAGCTTTGCCTAAGGAATTCACAGAGAGAGTAGGATTCTCTGAAGGTTAATAGGAGAAAAATATAGAACCATCAGGATATCTGAGATGTTTCAGCTGCTACCAGGCATTTTAAAAGGACTTAAACTCACCTAAGCAGATGAAATCAATACGGAACCTCTTATGCCTCATGATTTAAATAAGTTTGGGGAAAAACAGAATTCATTAATGAATTGTAGAGTTCACTATATTAACTATATAACTAACTAAATAATTTTTGCTCCTCTTAAGGAGCAAACTCTTTAAGACATTTCTGCCTTGATTTTTACGGAGATTTGATTTTTGAGGTGTTAATAAACTTACAAACTTTATTTTTTTAATGCTATGATTTGGAATATTATTTTAAAAAAAAAAAAGTCAACCAAAGTCAATTCACTGCTACCTGAGTTACTTCTTTTGTCTTTAATTTTATGGTGACTCAGCTAGTCTTAGCTCAAGAGATCGGAAAAATCTGACATATCTAACTCATCGTTTAATCTAACCCCTTCATGAGACACTGTCATCTCAAATAGTGAATTAGACAACGTTTACAGCAACCAACTGGGAACTAAGCAGTTGGTCCAAATATACAGTATACATACATTTGCAAGACCTCAAGAAGTGCAGCAAGCACATTAAACACTAAGACTAAAAAATAATTTTTTAGGAGGGATCCCTCAGAATGTAGTTCAGACTAGGACATATTACCTCTTACAAGCAGGTTTGCTGTGGATTTTGATTTGCCAATTGAAAACTGAACAGGGCCTGTCATATCCGCAGAGGTTTTGAGCAGGACCAGGTAGTGGATGGTGTCTTCTTGGTACATGATAATGTTGCTGCTAGCCTGCAAGACTTTTCCACGTAGAAACCATTTGGGGGGTTTCACAGATGGAATGGATATCTCACATTCAAATCTGACTTCTTCAGGCTCAGTCACCTCCTCATCACACAATTCCCTTACAATATTAATGGATTGCTCTGGATGAAGGAGGGAACAAGAGAAAAATGGCATTCAGGACTCTTTCTTCATCATCCTGCACATTCATATCATCTTTACTGCACTTGAATACTGCACTTATTGCTTCAGTAAGCCTTAAAAGTAAGTCCTTTTTATATAAAGAAACACATACATACACATATTAGATTGCAAGGCTATGATACAGCATTGAGAAAATCTAGATCCTCCATTCTATTTGGACACCACCTTCCTATCCTCATATCAATCACAAGGTATTAGAAAATGGAAGAGAAATTTCACTTAAATGTGGATACTGGAAACAAGAAAGTCACTGGCTACCTACAGTAAAATTTCTCAGAAAACAATTTTTCTCCAGGATATCTGGTAAAGTTCTATGGAACAGGAACATCATTACTTTTCTTAGGTACTATATATATACATTTTTCAGGATGTTCCTCATATTTCTAAAAGGAACAAATGCCAACGGACTTCAGAAAATAAAACCACCACCCTAATTACTTTTTAGGTTAATGAGAAAGGCTTTCTGGACCAGTGCAGTTTTTTTTTCCAATGTATCCTAAAGGGAAAAAAAAATTACTACCTTCAACAAAGAAATGAGCACTGCTTTTGTCATCAAAGGCATCACAAGTGTATGTGTCCTCATCTTCATAATCTGCATCATTGATGATGAGTTTGCGATAGACACCATCGCTCACAATTTCGTATTTGTCACTAGGGTGAATTTCAACATCTTTCTTATACCATCTCACTTCAGCATTTGCTCGAGACACTTGGCACTCTAGGAATCCACGGTGCTTTACAAGAGCAATCTTATCTCGTAAAGGCTTGACAATCTTTACTGGAAGCTCTAAAAGAAATCAGAAAATATGCAATAATCAGTGCAGCTGTGCTGAAGGCCACAAATTGAGAAGTCATTAGCGATATTTCTTTCCTGGTCGGTTATTTGGATGATGGCAGGAATCCCCAGTATCTCAAGCACAGAAAGTAAAGAGTTCATGAAAGGAAGTCATCTCTATTTTACCATTTGCAGGGCTGAAGTGCAGAGACACAAAGGAGTATATTCAACATTATATAGAGCACTGCTGCAGGAAAGCGAAGGGCTGATCTCAGATCCCGTGAGCTCTTCTTCAGGGTATTAATTTAAAACTGTTCTCATTTTTTTTTTTTAATCATGCTATCTTAATTAAACACACAAAAAAATGCAGGATTCTATATAAACAGAAAAACAAAAAAAGCCAGAGAAATTCAAACTACAGTGCTTTCTCTCAGAATTTAAACATGACTCATAATTCTAAAGGTAGAAAAACACCATCAGTTGAAGGAAAGCTCCAACAGTGAGGCTGATACTTCATGCACAGAAAGATCAATAAGAGTTTTTCTTTCCCTGAAAGCTCTAAGTGGTGTTCAATTTTCTTTCTGTTAACAGTGATAGAAATTGCTTAGGTTGTAAGAAGAGCCCATTTAGGTACTATTGTCTTTAGAAGTATAGTTACCTTTTACTGTAAGGCGGGCATGAGATTCTGCCTTTTCTGCTACAAACTTGATCTCTGCGGCGTCTTCCATCTTGGCACGCGAGTAGGTCAGCGAGTAGGTCTTTCCTGAGAACAGAAACACAACCACATGCATCCTCTGCAAAAACAGCCCCATCTTCTGAGGCTCTTGCTTTTCCTTTTCTCACACTATTTATTTATTTATTTTTTCTCTCTTGGGTAAATCCATCTGCCTTCTGCAGTGATTTGCAAGCCATTGAACAGAAGAAAGGCCCACTCAATGGACGAACTGGCTCCAAAGCTCAATCCTAGGTAACTGCTCACTACCTGCTTAGGAGCTAATCTCACTAATTCCCTGTTCCCTGTTTGCAGCCAAGGATAGTGGGATATTGTTAGATGTCCCTTCATTAAATCCCCCACTATGCCTCAGTTCCAGCCTAGCTGCAGCCCAAAAACATAGGACAACTCTCAATGGGACTCTCCTAACTGGATTTTGAAGGTCCGACCTTTTTGCTTACCATCCAATAACCTCCAATACCAAATCTTCCTTGTGTTTTCTTTCCAGCACCCGCCCCAAACCCCTCCACTCAAAAATGCCTCCATTTCACACCCTACCATCTTGACGCATTGTAATATTGTCAGAAGCCTTCAGCTTGTTGTCATCTTTGTACCACTGGGTTTGGACCTCATCATGGGAAATCTCGCAGACGAAAGAGGCACTCTCGTATTCATTCACTTCCACATCTTCCAGTGGTTTAATAATCTTGATATCCCGGGCTGTGAAATAGCGGCAAATATTTACTGTAACGTGCTCATAACTGAGTGCACTATGTTCACCTTTTGAATATTTGCTTGGAAAAAATCAATAACAACTCATAGTTTATTCAAAAACAATTTCCCTTCTTAAATGGTTTCCCTCTTCAGCACATTAAATATACTTTACCCATTTTACCCTTGAATCTACAAGTAGAATTACCAACTACAATGGAGCACTGCAAGAGGATTTTGAGGATGTCAGAATTTACAGGGTTTTTAAATTAAATTCACAGGTGATAATCACTAAACACAAGTCTCCAACCTTTGGTGTTACTATAAGCATTATGCTTTCTCCTAGGCATCTATTATGGGCCACTGTTGAGAATTGTTTGCTGGGTGGTTGATTGAAGGTGCTTGTTCTGTTCATCTTAAAAATAGCATCTGCACTTTTCATATGGCACAGGGGCAAATAACTGGATGTGGGTCTTAAAGCAGCTCAGGGAGGTTTTAGCACCATTGCTTTGCAGTTTTGCAACAGCTTTGAGAAGCCATCAAAAACATTCTGGTGAATGAGCTTTTCCAAGTTATGCTACTGTAGCATACTCGCCATACAGGAAAAAAACAAAAAAAGGGAGGGAGGGAGGAGGGAAGGGAGGGAAGGGAGGGAGGA